ATACATTAAATACAATAATTTATTGATTTTTCATACGAGCATAATTCCGCACGCATCCGCAAAGTCATAATGGAAGCGGCCTGGAGATGACTTCCGCTTTGTTTGCCTCCGATGTCAATAAAAATATGCGAGGCCCACCGCCTCGTCTGACTTCATAATCATCGACGAATCAAAGATGAGTGCGTGACCGAGGCAAAAGTTGTGATTGGTGGGGAATTATTGATGGAGTCCTGTGGAGCTAAGTACAGGTAGAAAATGTATATAACTTAGGTCTTAGAGTTATGATAAAAAATAAATAAGAATTTTCTAACAAAATGAATTACTAAACAATTGTTAAGTTTAGAGAGTAATAAGATAATATCCTATGTTATTTTCTATGATCTCTATCTCGAATTAGGTGCCACTTCCCTCCTCTTGAGTAACTTTTCCATAACATCTGTGACTAATTACCGGACGTGCTTTGAATTGCTGACCAGTTAAGGTGATTTTTATTCTCAGTGTGCCTAAGGTATAATAATAATTTCTATCACGCTGCCATCTCTGAGGCTTACAGCTGAGTGATTGACATGACCGCAGGGGGTCAAGGCAGGCGAGGAGGTGGCCAGGACATCGTCCTAATGGCCCATTGACAATTATGGCGCTACTAAATCTTGGCCAGCAGGGACACGGCTAGTAAATACCGAGGTTAAAGCAGGAGCGAGGGAGTCGGAGGCTGAGCCCAAGCCCAAGCAAACCTGGCCCCATTTCATAACCAAGAGGACTTGGACTCGTCTTTGTTTGTTTGTCTTCCAGGGGGAGCACAATAGAGGAGGAAATGTGTGGGGGGACGGATTCCTGGATCCAGGGGCGATTCCCGATTGAGGTTCGGCTCAGGGGGCTGCATATTATTCAATTAAAATCGCACTGCCATTAAGCTTGTACGGACAACTGTCAGTAACACGCACGCAATCAATGTCAACACGCAGGCCCCTCCGCACACACACACACACACTCTCACAAATAGGCCAAAGGATAATACGCACGCACAAACACACACTCATGCTGGCAGGAGAGTTCGGTGCCAGGACGAGTTGCGAGTACGTTAATAGAACTTAGACTCGCATAAATGTCAGCTACAAGATTTGATAGCCCCGGGTTAAAACTAAGTCCCTGCATATGCGTGTCTGGAGTGCTTGGTTGTGTGCGAGGCGAGGAAGGACTTTTCATGGCAAGTCCTTCCCCACTCTCACTCCCTCTCTCTCTCTCTCTCTTTTTCTGTTTGTTTCTCTTTCCCTTTCTTCCTGTGCGCGCGCCCAAAAGCAGACTGCAAAAATTGAACAAGCTGGGCCTGCTTTAAATTTATGTGTGTATGTGTGCAAGGACCACAGTGTACAGTGCTTAAAGGGAAGGCTGCCCTGCAAGTACATGATTTAAGTCGCATTTATAAGCTAAAGAGCTCAAAACTTTACAGTTTATTAACTGGCAGAGGCTTCTATTGAATTAAAAGTGAATTTATGATAATAAAAATAAATTCAATATTAAATCTGTTTACATAATAGAATTAACTTCTAAGCTTTGTCCTATTCTTTGCTAGTGCCCAAAGTGTCTTCAAATTGTATTTGTTGTATATATTAAATTATAAATTACCACACTATTTTCTATTAAATTTTCTTGGTCATCTGAAAATGCACCTCAGCTTGGTTTATTTGTTAACAGAGCTTACATTTCCGTTTAGTACCGAAAAATGCCTTAATTCTGTTTTAGGTGCCTTAACTTTATACAGCTTCGTGTGCACTCAGGTTGTTTAGTGAGTTGGTGTGTGTTGTCGTGTTTTTCGAGCATCTAGAGCAAATTAAGATAGAGGTAAAACGGCACCGAACACCTCCACATTTTCCTCCTTGGGGAAAAAGAGTTTGAGAGGCGGCAGTATGTATCCTGCCTCATCTGGCAACTCGACCTCGTAGCCGCATAGAGGAAAACTTTTTTGTCTGCTCGGTGCCTCGAAAGTTACCCAAACGCCGGGCTCCTCCTTGGGGGAAAAACGAGAAGAGACTAAAGGGAAAGGAAAAACTGCTGCCCCTCAATGAACTTTTTTATGGGTGGGAGAATGGAAATGGAAATGGGAACGCGAGGGGACCTGCTTCGGCGTTAAGTGGCGCCCAACCAAGACGCAGCATCAGCAGTTGCCACGCCTCCCAAAGCACCCCGCCTCCAAGCCACCCAGATTCCCTCCAGCTCATGGCCTGCCTGCCTGCTGGGCAGCAGATAGCAAGCAGAGATGGTGGAAAATATATGGAGAGTGCAGGAGCAGAGTGATACACAGGCAAAATAAATACATCAATTGTTTAATTAAGTTTTCCCTTAAGAAATATTTAGGAAATATTATTAAAATTCATAATATTTAAAGTTAAAAATAGAACACTTTTTAAGCTGGAATAATTTTCATATCAGTTGTATTCCTTAACACTTTTTCCCGCGTGTAGCCTTATTTTTACGGCTATCGTTTCAATTTTTATGGCTTAAGTTGTTGTAAATTTAGTTAGAAGTAGAGTTCAGCTCTATCATCTGCCACTCTGGCAGTCGACGAGCTCGAAGGCTCGCTCCTGGGACCTCAACTCGAGAGTTCGGCTTCGGGGGAATCGATATCCTGCGGCAACAACAGCGGGGCTGCGTGTCCGTCTGCCGTTCTATTAGACGTCAGGCGGAAAATTTAATACTGTTTATTTACACAATTTTCCAGTTAACCAGGAGCGGTTACCTTCACTTTGAGGGTTACGTAATATCGTAATATCGGCATTAAGGTCAATTCTCTATGTTAGTATCAGTCTTTAAGTAACCCTCTCTCATTTCTTTTTTTGTGGATACACTAACTCACACAACACCCTAGCCTCACACTTTGTGCGTGTGTGTGGTGGGGGGAATGAATACAAGTTAACAGTACATTTGCTTTAGTATTTATGGGCTGATAAACATGGAAGACAAACTCCACTCACAAACTCCGGGGGCCCGTCTTGAACGCTTAGCCGCTGCGTACGTTATTCAGACAACACCTGCGAATGCTGGCACAACACCTGCCTACCCATCCACCTGGCTTTGGCACTGGATAACCTGCTTAACCCTAGGTGACTTACGAATCTGATTTGTGTCCTAATTTAACGACACCCAAAAAAAAACAAAAAGGTCGGATAAGTGATCAGCAAATTGGTGGCCAACGAGAAATGCATTAGCCTGTGAAATTATATACGACCAATACCGATTTCAAGTTGACTTTGAATGGGAACAAAAAGGTCTATTAATATTGATGGGACAATCGCGAAAAGTTTTCACAAAATTCATTCAGCGATTGTTGGCACAATGATAAAGTCTTTAAATAAAGTGAATTATTTAAACAAAAATAAACTAAAATAATTCAAGAAATTGTAGCTGTCAGGGTATTTTGATACCATTGTAAACCTTTTATAAAGTTACTTTCAGTGGGGTTTGTTGCTAGCCAGAAAGAGCTTTAGATACAAGGTATTTTATCAGGGTGTCATATCGCTGAAGATTTTGAAATCAGGGTTAATATACTCTACTAAGGCCAAAGTATTGAACGATACGTAATAGTAACTGCAATGAAATAAATTATAAATACATATTTAGCAAGATAAAAATCATGGAAAACACACTCTCTTGACTCTGGTTGACAATAAATTGCTTGCAGTCACAACATATTGTTAATATTCAATCATATTTTTATTACAACGCAGTCCATAAATAAATTGTTGAGCATTTTGTATGAGATTTAAATATTTTATTTTTCAACCTACAAAAATCTGTTCAGCAACAGCATTTAAAGATTATACCTACAAGCATTTACTGGATTAAAGGTGTCTCTTTAATTGCAATGATCCGAGAGTATCGCTCAATCTTTATTGGGTTTCCATTTATTTATTATCGCCTTTCGTTTTCAGTACATTTATTCGAGCAATTTTGTCTGCTGTGGCAGCCGACGCATAAATAATAAAAGAACTCGGAAGCCGGTGCCCCAGCGATTTTCATGGGCCGCTCGGTGAATGCAAATGCGGAGTGAACAAAAAAAAAGGGGAGGTGTGTGAAAGAAAAGCGGAAGCTAAGCTGAAAGTCTAAGTTGTATGCACAAAGAAAAATATTGTTAAAAACTAAAATAATCATTTAATAGTAACAAAAAACCAACTAATATTGAAATATAATTGTACACAATACTCAAATCAATAATTAAAAAATTCTTGCTGAATTGAAATCATAATATTCCCAAAGTTTTTCTTCAAGTTTACCGTAGTGGCATAGTACACACAAGCTTGAAAGGGGAACTGACGGCTGGGAATTGTTGAGCCATGCAATTTATGCAAAATCACGTATGCCAGAGCATAAAAAATAAAGCTTGAAAAAACTATAAATAATGCAACAGCCGAAATGCAATTGCAGATACAGAGAGCTAGGTATTTCCCTATATTTGGGTGCTTAAAATAAACATTGAGACAGGTGGGGCGGCGGGCAAGGGGGCTGGCTTCAGGTGACTAGGCAAATATATATTCGAGTTTCGAGTTACGAGTTACGAGTAGGGAACCCACATCCATGTCGTTGACTGCTGTCAGACGGGCAAACATGGCACTTTGACCCATTTCCAGGCCAAACTCCCCGGCAGGCGTTAATCTTTTTTATGTGCAATACCATCCTGGGTCGCCGAGATTCAATATAAGATACTTTTCAAAGGGCCCAGGCCCGGGGCGGCAGGAAGGAAAAGCAGGCCCTTCAATTTTATTTAACATTTCGGCTGTCATTTGGTCCTGAGTGGCACTTGGTGTTGGCTTTATTGGGTTCATCAAATGGCCGACAGCAGCAGCAGTCACCAGTCAGTGGCAGTCGGCACATGTGTGGCCCCACTTGGATAGTTGCCATAGATACTGCGGCAAAGTGGTTTCTGGGATGGAGTCTGGCACTTTCTAATAATCCAATGATTGAGCCCCATATTTACCAGCCTTTTCTCCATCTTTTTCTTGCAGATTCCAACGGAGGTGAGTCTGTGAATTTGACTACAGACCCATTTGGGATTTTGGGTAACCTGAAGAGCAGCAGAGAAAGAGGAGATTGGAGAACGGATTCACATTCCACTCGAGCGAAGCGCCAGAAAAATTTGACTCTAGATTAGGCCATAAAAATACGCATTAAGCTGTCTGGAAGAGATAACTTCATATGAATTTATTGACATTTCTGTACGGTTGGTCAGTCGACTGCCCACTTGTTTGTACAAAAAACATTCCTACGTTTGCCGGTTGCCTTCCTTTGTGCCCAACTGAGCATGAAAAGGCCAACATCCGTTGCGGCTAATGTGCCTGTGGGCAGGACATGAAAAAAGTGGCAGTTCGAGGGTCCTTTGTGTGAATGCGGCGACTGAGAAATACATAAATAAATTAGTTACGTGCCTTGGCACAACTCCTCTTTGGCACAGTATTTGTTATCAACTTTTTGACTGCCAGATGGAAATATAGAAATATTTTTGGCCGAAATATTTGTACACCTTGATGGGCAAATTTGATGAGTTCAGTTTTGGCGTGGGTGAGTGAGAAACGATTCAATTTATTTATTTGGCCACTTTCTTCAAGTGGGTTTGTGTTGACCATTGGGATAGGCATATAGACTCCAAGAGAAAGGAACTGAAAACAATATTTTGGATACTTTTAAATGCCTTTATAAACATTCTCTTGAGCTTGCTTTTATTTTTATTTTAGTTTTTTTTTTTGGGAGTACCCTTTTTAAGTATTTTATTTTTGTCTGAATATGCTAACCAAACATCGTTTACACCTTGCTGGACACATTTGATGAGTCCGTTTGGGACATATGGTTTTGCTTACCGCATTTTTGGGAAAACTGCTGCATTTCGCTGTTGATAAATGGAGGGATTTTCCACGTACACCGCTCCACTCGGTGACTGCCGGACTTAAATCACAAGCTGGACAACGCTTAACTCTGCGGTTTCGCTTCATAAATTTTGTTTATTCATTTGTTTTTGTCTTGTTGTCCTTGTAGGACTACGCTTTGCTGCTTTGCTGTGGTCCCCAGGTTTTTTCCCCCATTTTGTTTAATATTTTTTGTTGGCTTTGTCTGTTGGTCAATTATTCAGACCGAAACGCTTGTGGTTTTGCACAGTTGGCCGGGAAAGTGGGGCATTTAAATGGCTTAAAGGGCGTCATTGGGATGGGGCTCTAAAAGCGGAACGGAAGGGAGCAGTGGATGTGGACGCAACGAGACGTGTGACTGTTGACTGGCTTGTGTAAATTGCATAAACTTGGTAAATGTGCAAAAAGTGTTGCTCGCTTTTGTGCGACTGGCTGGGACAACAACACGAAACGGACTTTCCATCAACAGGTGCGGTGCCAGGTGTTTCTGTGTGTGTGTGTGTGTTGGAAGGTGGAGAGCACCTCACAGCAGGCAGTTCATTATGTGGCCAGGACTGTTTACCTAGGACCCTCAGCTTGTCTCCGCCGGCTGTTTACAGTGGTGTCAGTCATTGGGTTGGTCACTCGACTGCAGCTTCAGGTCCTTGGGCGAGCTGCTCGCATCCTGTGACCACATCCTGTCTACGGCACGCCGCCTGGCTGTCCATCCTCGCCGGACGAGAGAGAAAGTAACAGGGAGTGAGAGGAAGAGCGCCTTTTACAGACTCATTGTTTGGGTCAGGACACTCGGGAAAAAAAGTCTGAAAATCAGGAAAAATATTGAAACTGTAAAAGAAGGAACCAGATTACAAATTTTTGATACCATACGTTTTTGTAAAATTTTTTAAGCTTGCTAAATAGCTTTAAAAACTTTCTTATTAATACCTTCCTCTTACTTGTAATCCAAGTGCAGCAGCATTCCTATGACTTCGGCCAAGACCAAAGCATTATAACGCCAGGACGGGGAAGCCGCAGAGTTCCCTCTCGATCCTGTCGAAGGCTGAACAATGCTGGGCTGGTGTAGGTACAGGATGTAGAAGGTGGGATGTATGTGCGTCCTGGGGCACAAGAAATCAAGCGTAATGAAGCCCCAAACAAAGGCTCTCATCCCAGCATCCATCCAACCAAGCAGACAGGCAGGCAAGCAAGCAAAGCTCTACCATTTCATACCATTCGAAATTCAACGAAATGATAATAGATAAGCCGCTTGACACTAACACGCTTACGCACTCTAGAAGTGTGTGTTTTGATTTGGCCCCGAAAGAGCATTCCACCCTTTTTCACCCAAACTTTCCACTCTTCCCCTTCTAAACACCGACCAATTAGGCCGGAAACGTGCGAAGTCGGGATTAGCTTCGAATTAGTTATTGTAATTGAACGAGCGCCTATTCTACGACAGTTGTGTTAACAGGTCATTTATCCCTGGGAAAATAGAGTGAAGCACTTAGGAGGTGGCAGGTGGTCAGCGGTGGACATTGGTTTAAAATGCATAATACCGAATGGTAAGCAAGTTTTAAGTGGTCAAGTTTTAAGTGGACTCCGCCAAAAGTTTGCTGAATTCGCTGGAAAAAGCAATCTGGAAAACGACAGCTTAGGCAATACTTTCAAAGCAACTTTTTCGCCCTTTCCCATTCCCTTTGCATTTGGTTTTCCCTTTGGTTTTCAGCCAGCCGTTCTTCGCCTTGGCCAGCCATTTACCACCGATTTAATGGGCAAGTTGTTTACTTTGACTTGACATAAATTACATACATACGTGTGCCATTAAGTAAACTAGCCGCGGGTGTGGGCGTCTTCGGTTTGTATCGCTTGGTTCCCTTGTAATAACAATGAAAATCATAAGCTAATTGCCATAAAAAGAGGAAATTTTAAAAGCGGAACCTTTTAGGGCTGGGCCAACGTCAAAGGCAAAAGCCTGAAATCGAAAATCGCTGCAGGAAACGATGTGACGTGAGGCCTTTGTTTGTTTTGTTTTAGATTATTTCTTCTTTTTGTTTTTGTTTTTTTTTGTGTTTTCAGCAGCAGTTCAGTTGCCCTTTGCCGTCCACAGCAGCAATAATAAGAATAACAAAAAGCGTTTTCAGGGTTATGGGCGATGGTAGAGGTAAAGGGAAAGGGAAGAGGATGGGATCGAGTTAAGCTTTGTTGTTTTGGCCACAGCAACATCATTGAAATTGACTTCATTATTATTTTACAGTCTTGGCCCCAAGTCTTGCCCTGCCATCTCTGGCTGCCTCTGCTTTTTATGGCTTTTTATCAAATCTTACATTGTGGTGCTTGTGGCACGTTTTGCACTGATGGTCGTCGTGTTTGCTTATTAAAATCCATCCCCGGGCATCCTGGTGCCCCATCTTTACTGTATCTATCTATATATGCGCATATATAGTGCCAACCAGGATATTCAAGGATATAAAAGCTGAATGCGGGCCTCGAAGCGAAATTGATATAATGCATTTTGCATTGGCCTCTTGTCTTGAGCATAGGAAACTAAGTAGAGGCCCCATTAGCAGAGCAGTGAAAAGTGAAGCCATTAGTCGAGACTTCGATTACAGCCAGAGAGATATATGTAGGTTAGGAGTATTTCTAGCAAGATTTAGTTTAAAGGATTTAGAAATGATTAGATTTATGGAATATTTAAAGTGAGAACTAATTTTGAATTTCCTTAAATACTAATTTATTAACTCTTGTAATATCTCTTAGGTGAACTATAATATTTTCTGTTTTAGTCAGTCTTTTGAATGTAGACTTCGTAATATTGCTTGCACCATTCTCGCTTTGGCATTTCCTTCACTATTTTGTTGCATTTTCCATTTCCCGAGTGTCACTTGCCATTTGTCAGTCACTTATGCGCTCTCCCCACTTGCATATTTCGCACTATTTCGCTTTCATGTTTTTCTTTTTTTTTTTGTATTATGTGGGCGGGGGCATTATGTAAATTTTTTATCGCCATTTTGGCGAGCTTAAGTCAAATGCTTTTCACTTCCGCTCCCGCGAAGCCCCTCCTCGCCCTTTGCCTTTGTTTGTTTATGAGCATTAACGCACACACACCACTTGCATATGAGCACACTCGGTGTTTTTGTTTTTTTGGGTCACTTTCAAAGCTCTTGGCGTTTTTTCAAGTGGTTTTAGCACACACTCGAAATAATTTCGTGTGTGGAATTTGCTTCTGGCGGGCGCTATCAATGCGATTAAAAAACAATTACACTTGTGACACTAATGGTGAGAGCACACACACACACACACACACACACACTAGCGATGGCACAAAATATCGAGGGGTTTAAAACATTTAATCATTTTAAAGCTAGTCATAAAGATTTTCAAATACAATCTGTGGCAGTTATAGTGACCTGCCGTCTTAGTACCATAAATATAAGAGTTTCTGAATCTAAAAATGGAAAGTAGCTGTGATGAATATAATGTATCAGCTCTTATTTCAAAGATATTATTTATTGTTAACATTTATCCATTAATTATCATTGTTATTTTATTAATTATTCCCATCTTTTTACATTCTGCTTTTTAACTTTCCTTTTATAATCGCTATTTATGGTGTATTGATCCCGATATTTTCATGATAAACATCCCTAACAAACACTCTTTCGATTTCATATGTTTTCTGCATGAATGTTTACCCTTTATTTATATTTTGTTGGGTTTTTTTTATAATTTTTCAATGCGTGTCTGTTTGTGGCATCTGCGAAAAAAACGAACGATTTGTTTACACGGCAATGGTAATGGCTGCTGGCCGGATAACCACATCAAAAATAAACAACAAATTTAAAATTGATTTTCCAAAAATCAAAATAAACAAATTCCCTTCTTTTTTCTTAAGTTTCGTTTCATTTAGTTTGGTGTTTTTCATTTCGGAGTTTTTATTGTTGTTGTTTGCTTTAAAGCTCTTTAAATTAATTGACCCGGGTAAATGGAAATGGTGAGGAAGAGGGGACAGGGAAGGTGAAAGCCTAATGGCCAGGCTAATGGCTGGTGGCCGACATCTTGCGGCATTATTAACATGATTGCCACGAAGGCCCCTTACTGAGAGCCAGGGATCCTGAGAAGGGAGAGCTTATCAATGAATC